CACTACTACTACTACTACTACTACTACTACTACTACTGCTACTACTACTACTACTGCTGCTACTGCTACGACTACTACTACGACGACTACTACTACTACTACTACTACTACTACTTCTGCTGCTTCTTCTGCTACTGCTACTTCTCCGACCCCGACAACGGCTACGACCACAACGCTACGGCGACTACCACGACGGCTACTACGACTAGGAGCAATGGCAGTAGAGGCAGGGGCAGCAGTAGCAGTAGAGGAAGGAGCAGCAGCAGCAGCAGCAGGACAGCATTGGCAGGACTAGTTGCTTGCAATGGAGACTAGACCGCCAAGGCCTCGATGCCCAGTGGTACCGCCACCCGCTCACAAGCATCTGCGAACCAAGCCTGTCGATGCAAACAAACCACTGAGCTCCTTTGTTGCGGTTGCTGCAGCTGCGTGGTAACAGTATTAACAGTATACTCTACATAGAACTGTGATAATAATGTGACGGCAATACCAACAGGAAAAATGGTGATCACCGTGTTCACACTCAGTCACTTGCTCAGTATGTTGTTGCTGCGCCTACCGCAAGCAGGAGGAAATAATTGGCAACCCAAGCGCATTTCACCCCTCGAATTCACAGCATGACTTTCGGGCCGCGCATTAACGAAGGCACGACAGACCGCAGACAAGACTGTTACGTATGTGGTACGAGACCCAGCACAAGTTGAAAAGACAGGCCAAAAAACAAGGGTAACGGTAAATGTGGTAAATGCATGCGTGTAAATGCAGCCAGCACCTGAACTATTCTCAACCCCCATTCTGCCTAGCAGAACCAACAACAAAGCACAAGACGTAGCAGCGGCAGCAGTAGCAGCAGCTGCAGCAGCAGCAGCATCCGCAGCAGCACCACCACCACCAGCACTAGCACCACCACCAGCACAAGCAGCAGCAGCAACAGCAGTAGAGCAGCAGGAGCTGTAGCCGTAGCAGCAGTGGTAGTAGCGGTGGTGGTGGTGGTGGTGGTGGTAGTAGTAGTAGTAGTAGCAGTAGTAGTAGTAGTAGTAGTAGTAGTAGTGGCAGTCGTCGTCGTAGTAGTAGTCGTCGTCGTAATAGTAGTAGTCGT